GTGTGTGTGTGTGTGTGTGTGTGTGCACGTTTGTGTGTGCGCGTTTGTGTGTGTGTGTGAGTGTGTGAGTGTGCGCGTTTGTGTGTGAGTGTGTGTGTGAGTGCTTTTGTGTGTGTGTGCGCGTTTGTGTGTGAGGGTTTGTGTGTGACTGTGTGTCCGTTTGTGTGTGTGTGTGTGTGTGTGTGAGTGTGTGAGTGTGTGAGTGTGTGTGTGCGCGTGCGTGTGTGTGTGCGTGTTTGTGTCTGTGTGCACGATTGTGTGTGTGTGCGCGTTTGTGTGTGTCTGCGTGTTTGTGTGTGTGTGTGTGTGGAAGAAATCGCTGCGCGCGTTTCTGTGTGTGTGTGTGTGTGTGTGTGTGTGTGTGTGGAAGAAATCGCTGTGCGCATGTGTGTGTGTGCGCGTTCAACCAACCAACCAACCAACCAACCATTGGCAACCAACCAATCAATCAATCAATCAATCAATCAATCAACCAATCCCCCCCCCCAAAAAAAAAAATCAAACCAATCAATCAATCAATCAATCAACAAATCAATCGATCAATCAATCAATCAATCAATCAACCAATCAATCAATCAATCAACCAATTAATTAATCAATCAATCAATAAAAGAATAAAAATAAAACAATAAAAAACTTGGCAACGGTACACTAGAACGACAAAGAGACAAGTAAAAAAAAATTAAAAAAGCAATGGAAGGGGGTCCATTATTTTTCTCCCCCCCCCAAAAAAATGGACCCCGCCATTTTTAAGTTTTTTTTCAATGTGGGGGGGTGGGGCCTCGGGTGCGCCCCCGGAATCCCGACCCCGACCTCTAGTACCCCCTCCCCCTCGCCCGCAGAGGGTCTTTTTCGACCTTGGCCGCAACGGTCATGACCGCGGGCCCGCGGTCGACCGCATGGGCCGTGGTCATGCCCACGGTGACCGCAGCCGCGGGGGATACATAGCCCCTTGCCCCTCGATGACGACATCCTGTTTGCGAACGACAGAGCAAAAGAAGCAACCCACCACTCGGTCAGCGTCGGGAAAAACACAGCAGCAATAGTCTGGTCATCGTCAAACCACAACACCAGCTCTGCCGAAGCGCCACAAACGCAGTCGGCGAACCCTAAACTGCACACGCCCGCACCATTGCATCGTTGCAAAAGCAAGAACTTCGGATCCTGGCGAACATCGCACACAAAGACCCTCCGACCCACTTCACACAGGTGAGCACGTGAAGTGCACCAGGATCCGAACTTAAAGAGGGTGCGAGAGAGAGAGTCAAAGAGAGAGAGAAACAAGATTCGTACTTGTGTGGTTGGTGAAATCCACGGGGCACTAGCAAGACCACAGTCGCATCAGAGGCCACATGAAAATTCGCAGTGCGCCGACATCCGAATTTCTTATGCTTTCCTGTTTCGCAAAAGCACGAAGCTCGGTAACCGTTGCAGCCAGCGTTCGGAGGCCGTACTCGTGCAAGCACATTCGGTCACTGCTTTTGGGCAAAAAAAGAAGTTCGGACGTGGGCAAACTTCGGTTGTTTTTCTGCGATCCACGGGGCACCAGGAAGACCACAGATAGACCAAAGAACAGTAGAAAACGCGAAGTTCACTGGGATCCGAACTTAAGGAGTGTGAGAGAGAGAGAGACAGAGAGAGAGATACAGGATCCGTAATTTTGTGGTTGTTAAACTCCACGAAGAACCAGGAAGTCCACACTCACATAAGAGGTCAGTTGAAAATTGAGAAGTAAGCCCGCATGAGCGGCATCCAAACTTCTTTTACTGTCCGATTTGGCAATATGTGAAGTTCAACAGCGAACGCAGCCGAGTTTGAACGTCGGACCCGGGCAAGCATGTTCTGTGACCCTGTTCGCGCAGAATGAGAAGTCCGGATTCGGGGGAACTCGGGCTGTTGTTGCAATCCATGGGGGATCAGGAAGACCACGGTCAGTTCAATGGACAGGCAAAAATGCAAAGTTCGCCGGGATCCGAACTTAAGGAGGCTGCGAGAGAGAGAGAGACAGAGACAGAGACACGATCCACACTAGTGTGGTTATTGAAACCGAAGAAGCAGCAGGAATCCATACTCACGTTGGAGGTCAGATGAAAATGCGTAGTCCGCCGGCATCCACACTTATTCTGATGTCCAGTTTTGCAATATGTGAAGTTTGGCAGCGAATGCAGCCAACGTTCGAAGGTCGGACTCGATGAACCATTCCGCACACCCCGCCAGGGCAAAACGAGAAGTTTGGATCCCGGCGAACTGGGGTTGTTGTTGCAACCTAAGAGGCACTTGGAAGACCGCAATTAGATCAAAGGACATGTGAAAACGCGAAGTTCGCCGGGATCCGAACTTAAGGAGGGCGTGAGAGAGAGATAGAGAGAGAGAGATAGGATCTGTACTTGCTCGTTTGGTGAAATGGGCAGCGCAGCAGGAAAACCAGAGTCACGTTGGAGGTAAGATGAAAACACGTAGTCCGCCGGCATCCAAACTTGTTCTGCTGTTCGGTTTCGCAATATGTAAAGTTTGGCAGCGGATGTAGCCAACGTTCGAAGGTCGGACTCGATGAACCATTTCGGTTACCTCACTAGGGCAAAACGAGAATTTCGGATGTGGACGAACTTGGATTCTTGTTGCAATCCACGGGGCACCAGAAAAGAGATGTGAAAACGCGAAGTTCGTCGGGATCCGAACTTAAGGAGTGTGCAAGAGAGAGATAGAGAGAGAGAGAGAGGGACATGATCCGTACTTGCGTGGTTGGTGAAATCCACAAGGCACCAGGAAGACCACAGTCACAACAGAGAGCCGATGAAAATGCGTAGTCCGCCAGCATCCACACTTTTCATGTTGTTCGGTTTCACGATATGTGACGTTTGGCATTGGAAGCAGCCAACGTTTGAAGATCTGATTGGGGCAAGCATGCTCGGTCAACCCGTTTCAGCAGAACGTGAAGTTCGGATCCGGACGGACTTGGTTGTTGTTTAAATCCACGGGGTACCGGGAAGGCCGCATACATATTGTATAATAGGTAGAAACGCGAAGTTCGCCGGTATCCGAACTTCACGAGGGCGCACGAGAGAGAGAAAGACAACTCTCTGCCAAACTCGCAGTCCCACATTCTCTTGAAGTCCATATCCCGACGGACTTCACATATCGTGAAGTCGGACAGTAGAAGAAGTTCGGATTCTGGTGAACTTCGCATTTTCATCTATCCTCTGATGAGCCTGTGGATTTGGACAGCAACACAAGCTCCATGCTTGTGTTGCTGTCCAAATCCACAGGCTCATTAGAGGACAAATGAAAAGGCGAAGTTCGTCGGAGTCCGAACTTCTTCTGCTGTCCGATTTCGCGACATGTGAAGTTTCAGCAGAACGTGAAGTTCGAATCCGGGCGGACTTGGTTGTTGTTTAAATCCACAGGGTACCAGGAAGGCCGCAAACATATCGTATAATATGTGGAAATGCGAAGTTCACCGGTATCCGAACTTCACGAGGGCGCGCGAGAGAGAGAGAGACAACTCTTTGTCAAACTCGTAGTCCCACATTCTCTTGAAGTCCGAATCCCAGAGGACTTCACATATCGCGAAGTCAAACAACAGAAGAAGTTCGGATTCCGACGAACTTCGCATATTCATCTGTCCTCTGATGCGCCTGTGGATTTGGACAGCAACAAGATCCATGCTTGTGTTGCTGTCGAAATCCATCGGCTCATCAGAGGACAGATGAAAATGCGAAGTTCGCCGGAATTCGAACTTCTTCTGCTGTCCGATTTCGCGACATGTGAAGTTTGGCAGTAGATATGGCCAACGTCGAAAGGTCGGACTCGGCGAACTTGTGTTGTTGTTCAAATCTGCGGGGCAGCAGAAAGACCACAGCCACATCAGAGGATATGTGAAAATGCGAAGTCCGCCGGGATCCGAACTTCAAAAGAATGTGGGACTGAGAGTTTGACAGAGAGTTGGAGAGAGAAATGGAGAAAGAGATAGAGAGAGATAGAGAGAGATAGAGAGAGACAGAGAGATAGATGGAAATGGGGAGAACCAGACGGAACCCGAACTTCACAGTCGCGTTGGCGGACACATGCTTGCGTCGGCGGACACATGCTTGCATGATGGAACGAGTGCGTGCGAGAGTGAGATACACAGAGAAGAAATACAGATCGTCGGCTTCGTTGATAACCAAGGTTCGATGCGGCCCGATGGCCAATGTTGGTCGTCGGACTGTCACGATCCATTCCGACAGCCTGCATTGGCCATCGGGCCTCATCGAACCGTATCTATGAACAGACCCGGCGAAGTCGAGGTTCGCCTAACTCCGTATTTTTTCTTTGTGTATCTCTCTCTCTGTCAAACCGATGATCCCGGGTGATGTAGAGAGAGATGGGGATATGCCCGCGATCTGTGACAACGCTGGGACACTATGAAACACCCGGGGACGCGTCCACGGGTCCGATCTCGGATGGTGGACGCAGATGGGGCCGCGTCCGCGACCGACTTGGGCCGCGCCGCGGACCCGATCTTACCAGAATTTTCCTGAATTAAATAATAGGTTAAAAAAAAAAAAACAATATATGGGGTTGTAGGGCCATATTTATTTTTTGGAATCCGACTTTGTTTACGATTTAAAAAAAATCAAAAAATAAATTCGATTTAAAGAAAAATAAATAAATAAATAAATAAAAGTTGGATTTTTTTTTGGTCATATTTTATCATGAGATATATGGTCCCTGAGTTCACCTGTCTTTTTCTAGAAATGAATTTCTGTCTTTTGTATAGGTATGAGCTGTGTTATTTTTCCGAATATCCGGATTGCCTTGAACCATCCGGTTTATCCGCCCGGAAGAAAGGGCCCGGAAGAACCCAGAAATTACAATTCCGGGGCGTGCGCGAAATATGCGTAGGTCTTTTTTACGGGGTTTATGGGTATGCCTGGGTCTTGATCGACCTTCAGAACCCCGCCTTGGAGGCGGATCCGGTAAGGGCCCTACCAGATTTAAAATATTGATGGCCCGATCAGGGCTGTCGATCGACTAACATCGACGGCCCAGATCGGGCCATTTTTTGAATTCGAATTCGGCCCAGATCGAGCCAGCAGCAGGGCGGTGCAACGCTCCTCGTCGCCGTTGTTCCTGCTGCTCGTCCCCGCCGGCCGCCTGTGTGTAGGGGCTGTCGGCGCTGACGGCATGCTGCCCCGTTTCCCCACCGCCTCGCTGTTGTGCTGTTGGAGCCATTGCCGCCGCTGCTGGAGCCTTCGCCGGGAGAGTGCCCCTGCTGCTGCAACGAGGTGAGTCCTCCTCCTTCTCCTCTCCCTCCTCCTTCTCTTCCTCCTCTTCCTCCTCCTCTTCGTCCTCCACCTCCTCATCTTCTTTTTCCTCCTCCTCCTCCTCCTCCTCCTCTTTCCTCCTCTTCGTCCTCCACCTCCTCTTCTTCTTTTTCCTCCTCCTCCTCCTCCTTCTCCGGGTCCTGCCCCTCCTCTTCCTCCTCGTCCTCCTGTTCCTCCTCCTCATCGTTTTGTAGTTCTTCTCTTCTTCCTCCTCCTCCTCCTCAGCTGCTACATGCCCAGGAGCTGCCATGTATCTACCCTACGCAAGTGCTATGTAGAAGGTGACGAGGAGGAGAAAAGAGAAACAGTTAGCCAATCGAATCGATTGATTCGATTGGATCTTGATTTCAGAAATCAAGATCCAATCGAATCCTACGTTGCATAGAGTACACGTACGGGGGCTTCCCGTACGAAACATACAGGTTATTTCTGTACGGGATCTGTACGGGAACCTGTACGGGAACCTAT